GTCCAGATAATTGTACCATAGCCAAGAGGTTGTTGTTGTTGTTTAGTTGTTAAGTCGTGTCCGACTCTCCGTGCCTCCATGGACCAGAGCACGCCAGGCCCTCCCGTCTTCCACTGCCTCCTGGAGTTGGGTCTAATTCATGTTGGTCGCTTTGATGACACTGTCCAACCATCTTGTCCTCTGTTGTCCCCTTCTCTTCTTGCCCTCACACTTTCCCAACATCAGGGTCTTTTCCAGCCAAGCGGTACCAATCTGTATTTCCTACTTATTGAAATGACTGTTTGTTTGTTTTTGTAAACATGCCTAGGGAAGGCAGTCTGAACCCCAAGCTTGCATGGTGAATTCCACTACAGTGTGGTGACATTTGCCGCCTCAAGGTTTCACAGATGAATTAAACTGGTTCATTTGTTAGAAAACGAATGCTCTTACACAATGTGACATGCAAGAAATATTCAGAGAATGAGTTGCATATCTTTGAGTAGTTTTGTCTGTGGCTGGTGTATATCTTCTAAGACTCCCCGCATCTGTACTAAATTCCTGTTTAGACAAGATTTAAATATATTCTTCAGAGTTGTGAAAAAGGAGAAATAATGTCATAAGTTGTTTAATTAACAATGATAGAGAATTGCTTTGAGATTCACAATCCACTTGTGATGAATTGCATGTTGGATTTGTGCTTTGTGCCTTTCATTGTAATTAATCATAGTAGAGAAGTAGGGATGGATGTGTCCATTATACATTTTTAAATAAAGATGTGTACACGGAGAGGAAGACAATACTAGAAGTTGTTGCTTTTTTGTGGCTGTCAGCTTTCTTTCTGGCTGGGGACCTGTGCAGAAATTACGTTAGACTTGCTAGGCTAGGTCAGGATCACCAAATCTGTGGCATCCCAGAGGTTATAAGACTCTAGCTCCCATCAGCCCAAATCAGCACATCCAAAGGTGATATATGATGGCTCAGTAAGTTTAGGTGAGGGAGGGAGGAAGCTCTCTGACTTCTCGTCTAATGCAAACCAGGAAGATTCCCTAACAGTGGGAGATTTTTTTTCTGATTTTCTATCAGTGATGGAATGAAGATAACAAAGTAATGAACACTGGAGAGTAGTATTTGACTTTAATTAGCTCTATTTTGCAGCTCCGGAAGCTCTGGAATATGACCTCTGGTTTGCAGACCATAGAAGGTGTGTGTGGAATAGGAGCTCGGCTTTGCAGGTTAGGAAAGTTTTGTATGCCAGAAAAAGCTGAAGTAAATACAGTGGTGCCCTGCTAGACGATTACCTCACAAAACGGTTAATTTGCTAGACGATGAGTTTTTACGATTGCTGTAGCACTTCGCAAAACAGTGTTTCCTATAAGCAGTTTTTGCTGGACGATGTTTCAGACCGAGCTTCGCAAGACAGGTTTTTTTGGGGACTGATTTTTGCAAGATGACGATTTTGACAGCTGAGTCCGCGACTTGCAAAACGGGTGTTTTCGAGACAGTTTTTCGCAAGACAGCAATTTTTACAGCTGATCTGCGTTTCGCAAAACAGTTTCTCTATGGCTGATTTTCACAAAACGATGACGATTTTTCCCCATTGGAACGCATTAAACGGATTTCAATGCATTCCAATGGGGAACTGCATTTCGCAAGATGATGTTTTCACAAGACAGCGATTTTCGCTGAATGAATTAACATCGTCTTGCGGGGCACCACTGAAGTTTAGATTTACATATTGAGTTTCTCCATTTGCTTTGGCCCCACCCTGAACCCCACCTACTGCTGAAATTCACCCCAAGACTTTTCCAAATTGGAAATCAGTCCTGGGCCAAAACACCTCTGGTTTAAGGGTAAGAATTTATTTAGAGTGTGGGTTTTCACTGGTTAAATACAGGAAACTATCTAAGGCCTAGACATTTTGCTTTCTGAGTCAAATGGCCACGACCCACCTCCAGATGCCACATGCAGAGGCTGACCAGCATCAAAGAAGAACCTTATTTAAAGGAGACCCTTAGTCCAGAAAAAAATTGCCTGCCTTAATCTCCTCTAATTGTTGGCGTTTCTCCACAATCAAAGGGAAAAAATCAGTTACTTTCTCTCTGTTTTTCATTGGAAATGGCTGGTTTGTTGCTGAGATTTCCCATCTGCAAAACTTTCGTTCTGCCATTGAACTGTGGTCTTTCTAAGAAGTCTGGGCTACCCACGTCCTTTGACCTTCCCTCAAAAGGAAAAGAGGGGAATGCACTGCATCAAATCAAACACATGGTCCATTTTAGAAATTAAACACCCATTAGATTAACTCCACTTATCTTAGTAGCTGCCAGATAAGTGGAGTTTAAGTACGTGATGCATTTCTTGTTACTTCCTCTCCATGCTAAGGAAAGCTTCTTCTGCTACATTTCTGTAAACGGGGACCCAAAGACACAACGGGATGGGGCCAGGGGTAGAGACTAGGAATTCTGTTTGCAAAATCAGCATTATGAATCAAGGATGGACTTATTCAGTATTCCAATTTCAAAAGATAATTAATGTAGGAAATAACAGAAAAGCTTTCACTGTGTAATTGATTTGTCTGTTATGTAATCTTTAGTTTATACCATGTTTTGAAAACTTTGGCAGATAACAGATCCAAAGAAAAAGGATACTGTTTTTATCATACTAAGATTTAGACATTCAGGTTTTCTCAGCGAAATATTCAGCCCCCACCCTATGGAACATTTTTGCCTTTGTATTTCCTTGGCTTGTCATTATTTCAGGTTTTGCTGGACAAGCTGAGAGGTGGTCCAATCAACATTGTCAAATACCCTGTGGTGTTCACTGATTGTTCCTTAAAGTTGCATTGTTCAGTGTGGTGCATTCAAGGCAGGAATCAAGGGTTTTCTTTTGCACAGAAGAATATGATTTGAAAGCTTCATCTGGCATACTTGACGAACACAAGAGTGACTGACTTTAAAGGGTAACAGACCGGAACTAGGAGAAATGCAGATAACTGGTGCTTAAAAGCAGTGAACTAGAAAGTTAGTGGTTTGAATTTTTCCTTTGTTCTGAAATTACTCTATGAACTTTGAGGGAAAGGCCACAAATGACAACTATCAGGATATATATGTATCTATTAGAAATGAGATATTCGTATCCCTCGGGATACAAATATGAATATCGTGGAAATAGGTGGCAGAGAAATCCAATCCCACTCCCCTCCCACCGGCTTCCTCACTTCTCTGCAATGCTGACCACTCAGCAGCTGAGCGGGCAGACTCCTCGTCCCGCCTCCTCGCTGGATTGGCCAGCAATGCATGAAGGAGGGGAAGTGCCAGCTGGGCAACTTCCACAGTTGGCACAACCGGGATGTTGCTGGCCATGCGTGGCACTCAGTGACCCAAAAGTGGACAGGCCAATTCAGGGTGGGTGGGACCGGACTTCCCTACCACCTGTGCCTGCAACATTCATATTCCTACCCCCAGGGATATGAATATCTAATCTCTAGTATCTATATATCATCTCCATATAGCAAAGCAAAGCATGCTGCTTATATACCACCCCATAATGCTTAAAGCACTCTCTGAGCAGATTAATAGTAATATATATTTTTAAATTATACAGGCTACACAACCCCATCCTCCAGCGAGCTAGGTATTCGTTTTGCTGACCTTGTGGAAGGCTGAGTGAACCTCTAGCCGACTGTCAGAATCCTCTTGGCTCAAACACTGACCATGAGCAGATTTTTGTCTATAATACTGTGTTTAAACACTGCACCACAATGTCAATACGTCACCTCCATAATGCCTTTTTAAAAGAAGGCCAACAATGTAGCTTATGTTTAGAAAAGGAGATCTCTTAAATCCGGAGGACCATCTGAATGTCACAGAAAAGCTTTTCATGTTTCCCATAGTTTACAAATTAATTTGCTATGCTTTATGATTGGCTCATAAATCCAAATGGAAACAGAAACCAAGACATCAGAAGAAGACTGGAAGAGCAGCAACAAAGGAATTAGAAAAGATAATCAAGGGTAAAGATGTATCATTGGAGGCCAAGAACAAGATAATCCACACTCCTGTATTTCTGATCACCATGTATGGGTGTGAAAGCTGGACAGTTAATAAAGCTGATGGGGGTGGGGAGGAATGGATTGATTTGAAATGTGTTGGAGGAAAACTTTGTGAATACCTTGAATTGCCAGAGTGGATCCTAGATCAAATCAAGTCTCAACACTCTCTGGAGACAAAGATGTTGAAACTGAGGCTACTTTGGGCACATCATGAGAAGGCAGGGATCTCTGGAAAAGACAATAATGCTGGGAAAGGGAGGAGGCAGCAGGAAAAGAGGAAGACCAAATGAAAGGTCTGACTTCCTGAAAGAAGCCACAGGCTTGAGTCTACAAGAGCTGAGAAGAGCAGCTGAGGACAGAACATTTTGGAGATTGTTTTCCCTGAATCATGTCACTGGAATCCTAACAGATTATACGTTCTAAGGGTGCAATATCATACAGTTTGGCCGTCGGTTGCTGTAAAATGTGAAACTGCGAGTATGCTTACATTTATTTTATGACTCTAAGCTTTTTATAGGCTTAGGGTTGGCCACTGGATGTTGGATGAGATGAGCCTTCAGTCTGATCCAGTGTAGCTCTTCTTAAGTTCTTACGAAAGCCATTGTTTCTTGACCTTAGACTTATAAAAGAAAACCCGGGGTCAAGGAGGGATATATGGGCTGCTGAGATAACATAAGTGAAGTACCAGATCTGTGTATGGCCACTGGTGGCCCTCCAGATGGTTTTGAATCCCATATTCAATCAGCATCTGCTAGTATGACCATTGGTGACGGATGATGACATTTGGTGATGGATGATGACAACAGTGCTATTTCATCAACACCTTGGTATTCTGTCAACATCTGTTTCCTCTCCCTTGTGCTACTCAGTATATAAATGTTTGCTATTCTCATTGCAATTTTAATGCTGAAACCGATGGCTTTATTCCTTTTATAGAATCCAAATGTGTTACAGTCAGCTCTTATCTTCACAGGTCGGTGGCATCCATCCAGAATGCAGACTACAGCTGGAAATTTATCAGGAGGAAATAAAGTGTACGGAGCTTTTGCAGAATGCCAAAACTGTGGGTTTTAAAGGTAAGATTGCCTGTAACAGTTTTGTATTGGTTCACCTACATCTGTATATTATGTGAGTGTTACATGATGTGACACAAGGTTGCTATGCCTTTACCTAAAGGTATAATTAAGACTCACCCAAGACCTTTTGCTGCCCAAGACAAGGGACAACGTTCATCCATGGTGTAGGAGGAGAGCAGGTAAGGTTCTTATTTTGGCCAGTCCCAGAGGTCACGAGCGGTGGAGAGCCTTTTGGGGCCCCCAAAATTCACATGTGGAGTTTCTACCTCTAGCCATGTTGACAGAGTGATTCTGTGAGTTGCTAGCCAAAAAAGGCACTTTTCCAAGCTCTGATTGTGTATAATATTTATTCTGACACGAGTAACATCCTCACATTTTTACTGTCCTTTCCAAAGTTTGCTCCATATTTTTGAAAGTTGTTAGAACTTTTTATAGGCAGTGGGGAAAGAAAATGTTGTTTCCACTCCTGTTCTGTTTGCTCTTAAAGTAAATTTTCACTACAGCTTTAAGTGCGAGTGGAGCAAATGTTTATCAAAAAGCAAATACAGACATTTTCCACAAGTAAGCACCTCAACCAACGCCACCTGCTCACAGTGTAAATAAATGAGTTTTCATTGTTTCCAGCGGGGAGACAAAAACATATATCAGGAGGTTTAAGGCAGAAAAATAATCAGTGACTCAATAGCACGAAAGAAACAGATCAGTAGCAATGAATTAAATTGTTCTAGGTGTTGTGAGTCAGAACTCTGAAGTCTATTGTACAATTTTCTTAATTGACAAGAGTATATCTCATTTTGCAAGGATTATATAGCATTGTCAGCCAACTCGAAAGGTGAACTGGGCATCAGCTAATTGTCTGGAATGAATTTCCAGTGGCAGAGAACCAATGTTCCAATGACAGTGGGGAAGCTTATATAATTTACTGATCTGTGATATTTTTATTTTAAAAATCATTTCATTTCTATTCTATACATTCAACGTACATGGTGTCCTCCCATTTTATTCTGGCTTGGAGTATGTGGAATGGGTGAGAAACTGGGCATGTTAATTTTTTTTAGAAAAAATTAATTTAACCAGACGCTGACCACACCCCACCCAAGAAGATTAGAATTGGAGACAGAATTGTGGCATTATCTGGCTTAAAATTGCTTACACCTTTAACAGGGTGAAAGAATTCCAGCATGCAGTTTCAGGAGAGGGTGGGAACTCCAGGAAAGTAAAAAATGAAGGATTATGACCTCCTGTCCCTAATGTGTTCTATTAATAGAACATATGTATACTGCTTTAACTCAGCCATGAATAAATTACACCTTTAATGGAGTTCATTGATTTAAATGCAGATACCATCACATTGCTTTTATGAATTATCCTTGGTTCAAAAACAACCTGCATAGGAAAGCTTGTAGAAGGGCAGATCTCAACATCAGAACATGATTAGTGTTCATGAAGCCTGGAGCTGCACAAACACCTTTATGTTTTTGAATGCTTAACTTGAAGAAAGCACTCTTATACTCCCATGTTAGCTTGATTTGGATTTCAGGCAGAGAAGGATGGAATGGACTTTAAGTTTCCCTCTGGATTGTCCTTTTACGTCTGCCTGAAGAACAGTTGTAAGAAAAATGCGGCCAGAAATACGTCTGCTTTCCCTCTCTGGAATCATAAATTTGTTTATTGTTTTAATGTACACAGACAGATGCACAGTGTTGTAGTGGTATGTTAAGATGACATTACATAGGCCCCCTGGAAAAATTCCTGTGGACGCTCTTGGCTAGAAATTCCATCCACGTAAGTCCTTGGAATTTATGCATGCTGTGTAGAGTCACATAAGAGCAGATATAGGAAAAGTTGATCTTTTTTTTTAAAACCTACACCGTTCTCCAGCTAGCATTGGGCAGAATGATCCATCGAGGTCCCAGAATTCCTCTGGGCTGGCAAGGAATCCTGGGAATTTTGGTAAAAAAAAAACCCTCAACCCAAACTACTCTTCCCAGTCACTGTATAAGAACAGGCTGTGTACTAACTACAGCCAGAATACTGAGCTTGGGTGTGTTGGTTTAGGGTTTAGATACCTTGATCAGCCATGATTTCATTGGTGCAAGTTACTCCTTCCACCCATGCAGATCATAATTATATCTCATCATTATCATGGGTATTTCATTGCTTGGTGGCCACCTCTTTGATGACAAGTTTGTGTGTACTTATTGAAGTTGGTCCTGGGACCAAACTACAACCAATAGGTTGCCAACGCCATATCTTAGGAACAATTTGGAAGAAACGTCTAATAGTTATTTAATTACTGGGTGAGTGACTTAAAAATGGACATGACATGTATCTCTTAGGTAGAAGAAAGAACAGTTAAGTTTGTTTTTAAACTTGGTAGCATTTAGAAATGGCTGCCATAAAACATCCAGAGGCAAATTGACCCAGTTAAGAAATAATAACCATAGATATTTTCAGTTGCATGCAAAGTCTCACAATGCAGTATGCAACAGGTAATGTCTCTGATGATTTCTTAACTTAAGGCAATTTGCCTCCAAAATTATGCTGTTCACTGTGTGTACATAACTGGGCAAGAGGATTTTGTAATAATGAGTTATCCTAACCAGTATAACTATCTACATCTATTGAATATAAAATAAAGTTTACAGGATGGTTATTAATAGTACGGATGTCCAAAAAGTGGCTGAAACTCAGTAGTAAGTTGCAGCTAGAGTGGCTCATTGAATCGGTGGGGATTTGGTGGGTCAATATTTATATAAGAGCTATTGATTCAATGGGCTTACTCTAGCTGTGCCTTCCTGATGGGCTTCAGCCAATATGTTTCTACACTTTGGTCTTTCAGCATTTACAGAATGCAGTATTTCTGTTATGTAATTTTGAATAGCAGATTTGTTGTTGTTGTTTAGTCATTAAGTTGTGTCTGACATGCCAGGCCCAGCTGTCTAGCAGATAGATCTTGCCATTATGATAATTGACTTCTGGATATTTCTTTTCTTTCTTTGATGTTTTTTTCCAATAATAAGCGAATTGCTAAAATATACACAAATCAAACTTCAAGCACTTTTCACATTCTTTTCGTAATAGCAATCTTCATTAATTATTCTCATTCCCCTCATGAAATTATATGGGGTGCATATTTTTAGGAAATCATTTGCTTACCTTGCTCATTGTAACCCATGTTTGATTGTTTGGCAGTAGTAAAAACTAACAATAGAATGCTTTACCATAGTACGTCAGTTAGTACTTTTGTCTTTTTTGAAGGAGAGAGCCTCTGCACACTTTCATGAGGGCCCCATAGACAACCTTATCGTTACAAATTTCATATAATTTTTGAGGTTCACTTTTGAAAGAAAATATCATTTAATCAGTTTTCATACACACCGTTGTAATATATTGGTAAATGCTAATGATTGAATCAACTAGGGATGCTCAGTGGCACCAGATAGTCTGAAAAAAGAGCACTTATGTACCCTTGTGTCTGTATCTAGAATTCATACATAAAGAACTGATTCCCATTGTCTCATATTATTATTATTATTATTATTATTATTATTATTGTTGTTGTTGTTGTTGTTGTTGTTGTTGTTGTTGTTGTTGTTGTTGTTGTTGTTATTAAATTAATTATTTAATTATTTAATTATTTAATTATTTAATTTCTATCCTGCCTATCTAGTCGATTAAGACCACTCTAGGCGGCTTACAACAAAACATACAACAATATATATATATAAACAATTTTACATAAAGGGAAAACTTTCTACAAGGTAGGACAAAGAGTAGGGAGAGGAGAGGATGGTGGGTGGTATCAATGCAGCTTCTCAGTAAAGAGCGTTCCGGCTCTGTATTGACTCCATCTATGCCAACTGACCATGGGCTCTTTCTGGGCAGACCTGAGTGTGAGCTGGCTTCATGTCATAATGGTTAAACAAACATTCGGGGAAATGCATAATTCTTGTTCTTGCAACATTTTTCCTAAAATGACAGAATCTTCTTTGTTGTGCATAGTTCAACAATCAGACCATACAAGGAAGTTGGTGTTTCAGTTTCATCGATCAGCCATGCTTCTGCTTTTAACATGGTTTACACTCAGATGTAATTTGCTGCTAGGATCAGGGTCTTTCTGAGTTTTGCCCTCAGCATTGTTTCACTTGGGCAACAAAATCTACTGAGGCTCGTGTCATATTTTGTATCTTGTTCTTGTTCTTTGGTCCTCATTCATGTTTTACCCATTGATCTTGACTGGTATTTAGATTTGATTCACTTCAGCCTGCTGTCCACAGCCCAGCTCCGTCAGTGCACATCTGAAGAAATGCAACCTTCCCAGCAACATCTTTCAATTATTTTCCACCGGTGAGGGAAATATGGGCCTTTGCCCTTCGGATTTGGGACAGGTCCAGCCATATAGCTTTGGAGCGAAAGGAATAATTTATTCTTCTGTCCTTTACCACTGCTATGAATTATGCATCCTTTACAGCCAAAGATTTACTCATTTTTCAGTATGCGCATAATGATCAGCATTGCCAAATCTTATTCATTTTTTATATTTTTAAAAACAGATTTATTGTCTTTATTTTTATTTTATTTTATTTTTTGGATTCTTGTATGTCAGGTTGCTAATGCTGCTCTTGGCTTAAAATCAACTGGAAAAAGGAAGTCTGGCCTAAAATACTGCATGAGGATTGAATCTTCTTTTACGTGCTAGCTATGGGTGTCCTAATAAATAGGGACATGGCTTTACTAATGACAGCTAAATAAAAGGTTTCTCCAATTAATAATGGAGCACTGCCCACCCAGCCCTCAAAAATCAAGGTTATATTTAGGCTCAGAAAGCTAAACAATATCTGTTCCCATAAATAACTCAGCTCTGTCATGCCCATACTGATACAAGCAAAAGGAAAAATGGTTCTGATATGGAAAGCCTCCAAGCTTTTAATCTCTTTTATGGTAACATTTTTTTCTTCTGTCCACTTAACTGGCTATTGCTATAGCAGATGGTGGCA